TTTTGTTTAAGCTCACAACATACAACCTGATTTAAGTGCAATTTTTAACCATACAGTACAAGGGTGTGCAAATTTCTTGTCCTTTTCTATTACTCAAAAAATAAAAACAGAAGCATTTTTGTAGTGATGGTCTGATCTAGTAAACAAAAAAGTTATTCCTCCATTTGCTAAGTAAAACAAAAGTGATCATTCACTTATTTAATCAAATATTTAGAGCAATGACATATTTTGAAAATCTTAATTCAATTCCTCTTGGTACATCTAAGCTTGATTACAGCGTGAGATGCAGAATCAAATAAATTGCTTCAAAATAACCTGTCTGACAGCATGAAGTAGGCTAAACAATCTAAACAATTAAACAAAGCTGTCGATCAAGAAAAGGTCTCGAAACCGTTTCTGAGGCTAATTTTAAGCATTTTCATCAAAGTGTTTTACTTTAGGAGTTGCAGGTCAAGAGTACATCAACAACATATCTGGGCATTTATGAAAAAAATAAAACAGAAAACCATCTAAAGCTCTGCAGCCTTTGCAAGTTTATGACTAAACAATAGGAAAATATCATTGGTAAAGGTCTGAAATTAAAACTGACCAAAAATACCACAAGACAGTATAATGGTCTTGGGTTGCCTTTTCTTCTTTGAGGCATTGACCACAAGCCAAAAATCTGTTGAGGATCTTTAAGTGATGATGATGAGATATTGATTTATTGTAATTTTGCATTAAAATCATACAGGACATATCAGGTGCTTTTTTTAACACAGATGCCCTAAAATTAGTAGCTCCACAGCAACACTCTAATTAATAGCAATTAAAAACCAATCTCCTTGTGGTGATGTCAGAGGGAGAATACATTTGGATCAAGTTCAGCATTCTATAATGGAGAGATGGATGGAAGCACTGATGAATGTTCTAGATGATCTAGTCTGGAATTAGTTTGTTTGGTTAAACCATCAGCCAGTTTAAGCTCAGGAGAGGGTAGTGATGTTGAGGAAAATAATAATAATAATAATAATAATTTAACTTTACTGATCTCACACAGGAGAAATTCACTCTCTGCATTTAGACCATCCCCTTGGGGAGCAGTGGGCTGCCTTTGTGCGGCACCCGGGGAGCAGTGTGGGATTAAGGGTCTTGCTCAGGGACCCAGAGTGCAGGCTGTGGGGATAGAACCGGGTATTTGCAACCTCAGAGCACAAGTGCACTGCTCTAATCACAAGGCCAACACTGCCCTAATCCCCTAATGAGGCATCACACATTATAGGTCAGAATCACCCAGAGCGGACCTCTAGCCTAGCCTACAGAGTCAGACTCTGAGCTGGAAGTAGAAAACACATGGTCGGGAAACACTGCCTGCTAGGTCTCTGGTGTAGACAGTACAGTATCACCAGTTTTTAGTTTATAAAATAGTAATTGGTAGATTATACTTTAAATGAACCTTATTTTCAACTAAATCCTCCACTGCTGTTACAAGGAATCCTCTACTATATTCTTAAAGGTATTGCTGGCATCTCCACCCATCCTTCACTGCCAGGGTTGTCATATCTTCCTGTTTCCAGCCTAAAAACAACATGAACCAAACCCCTGTCCCCTCCCTTACATTGAACCAACAAGTAAACATTGGTTTCCCACTTTCATATGATGCTTAATCAACACCTTGCTTGGGCGAAAGATAGGTAGAACAGATATTTTACATGTATTGTTGGGGTTTTATCTGAAAGAAGCTTTCTGATTCAACTGCCAACAGATTTTAAGAGTTCTGAACTGAATACTAATGCTCACTGAGCCTGAAAGATCCATGCTATGTGTTACCATCTGGTTAATTCCACTTCTTAATTTGTTTGAAGAGTTAGGCTACTACGGTTGGACTGGCTAGCATTGCCGGCCCTATCAGCCATGTTGTGAGTCCCATAAATCTGTTGCTCTAGCTAAAAACCCTGGTTAATAAGCTAAATACAGTTATTATTATTCAACTAATAATTGGTTTTACCCTCATTTTGAATGACCTTTTATTTAGCTAGTTATTTAATATATTCATAACTTTCTGATAAACTTGCAGAACATTACACTGTTCATTGGTATTAACAGTTCTGTCAACGAAGTGTCATCAACACTGAGTGTATTATTGATATGCAGCAGAACAATCTTTAAAAGCACCCATCAGCTCCACCTATTAAAAGCTTAAACAAGATCACCACAGTAATGGTAACAAAATAATAATAATCAAAACAAAGGCTTAATTCCATGCGAGACCCTAAAATAGTTATTTTACCCTCAAATCTCTTTAAAATGGCTAAAATAAACTATGCTGCAAAGAACAGCTTTTAAAGCAATAAGATTTAAAGCTACAGTGTGTAATAATTACAGGGATATACAGTCAGAAATGTAATATATTATACATAACTATGTTATTTATCATCATCTACGAGCTCAGCCTCTTAACCTTAATATTTGCGTTGCCTTAGAATTCGTTATTTATAATTACATAGGAGCGGGTCTCGCAGCCATGGAGGCAGACATCTTTGCGCTACGGCAGCGCAGAGCCAACAAACTAGCGATTGCGAGATCGCCAAAACGTCACAACGATGTAGAAAAAATAATGGGTATATTTATTATCTTAAGTCTGCATGAAATCTATACCCTACACAGACTAATGAAATACTATCTGTAAAATTATCTATGTAAACAAACCTCATCACTTGAGAAGGTAGGTGATGCCGACGTCGTGGAAGACATTTTGTCCCGTAACGCTCGCCGTACTGTTGGGGGGGAGAATCGGTGGGGGGGAGATGTTCATGTTGCTGCAGTCTGCAGTCTGACCACTAGATGTCGCTAAAAGTTACACACTGTAGCTTTAAGCAATGGTCAATAGCAGTTAGATACAACCTCTAATTAGAGCGATTACCTTTTCATTTTTTGGGTTTTTTTTCCACATCAAATAAAAGAGAATAAAGAAAGAAAAAGAAAGACATTTCTAAGGGTTACTACATTTGTATGTCACAGTATATCTTTATATAAGACACATCAATTAATAAATAAGCAACTAATGTTAAATGAATTTATATGCATTGTAAACAATCTGCAGATTAGAAGTTCAGTTATTTCTGTCTATGTTATGACCATTGTAGTAGATGTTCTGCCTCTTGTATTACGCTGCCTCACTTTTGAAATCTACAGCCTCTTTAGTATATGTAGGCGGCTGAAATGCAGCATACAGCACCTGTGAGTCTGTGCCCATCCTTTTAAAAAGTGAAACCAAACAGCAGTAATGATCCAAAAGGAAACAGGTTTCTGCTTGTAGCTTGCTACTATTCCAACATCTGCTTTTTGCACTGCATATGTCTTCCTCTCTGAAACAACTTATTTATTGTGTGCTCTCTGGAAAACATTATCGCGTTGTTTCTGATGAGGCCACAAAATCCTCCCAATCATTTTGGGTCCATCATAGATGTCTACCAACACTGACATTTAAGACTAAGATACATCTGTGGGAGTATATCTTTTTTTAGAAACCAAGCAAGTCATACAAAGATAAAAATATGAAAATGTATTTTTTAAAGTCTTGAGCTTTGCATATTATTAATCCAGTTTGGATTCTTGTTATAAAATACTTTTTGATTTCAACTTCAAGATGTGTAGCTAATAATAAGGAACATTTCTTTTGAGTCTGATGTTGAGAATGGACCGAAAATGTTTTAAAATCAAATGTTGACTCACCTAAGAACCTACATCTCAAATGTTTTACCTTAAAGTTAGGCATATAGTGATCACGAAAAGGAGTGAAAATGCTCGGAAAAACTGAGTCATACTACAGCTGGTTGATTTAAGGGGGGAGCATGTGCAAGCAACCAACGGATAGTGATGAGTAAATACATCTGGCATACTGCGTCAGTTTTCTGTTTTTTTATTGCTGATGTACTTTGGACCTGTTCTTTGTTTGCATTTTTCCTTCTCCTAATGTATCACCACCTCTTAGTTATCCTTGAATCTTGTTCGACATCTTCCCTTCTTACACTGAACACAATGTGCTTCTTATTTGTAGCTCACACAAGCCCAATTTTTTTCACACTAAAATGTGAATCATTGGAGATAGAGACAGCGAGATATTAAGTACCTTTTGTAATGTACCAATATAATTCTGGGAAATTACCTCTATTTATTACGGTGAACGTGTTCTGAAATTGCTTCTTTATTGTATCTTTGGACCTTTTGTCTTGGACAATTGGCAAGAAAATCTGCATTGATCTGGACTGACCCAACTGAATTAGATCTGGCAGACCTGGCAGAGGAGCTTTTTTTTTAAAAGAATCTAAGAATTGTTTTCTTATATTTCAGTCAAGGCTGCAGATAAGAAAACGTTATGAGGATAGTC